TTTTTTTTTTTTTTTTTTTTTTTTTTTTTGGCTTGGTGATAAATCTATTTAACAAAGTCTCTAAGACATGTATACACGGATGTTTAGGGGTTGGTTTGTTTTTTAAAGCAATGACCTATTCTTCTGACATCTGGTACTTGTCACAGTCACCAGACTGAAAAAAGAGAAACTAGGTATTTCCTCCCAGGTAGGTTTTTATGGTATTTGCAGTTCTCTTTAGCAAGTAGCATAGAATTTGGAAGCTCTGATTACTGCAGGGTTTATATTTTCTATGCCTAATACTGCATTTTCTGTTCTCACGGCTTTACGTCATTTCCTATGAGCTCTTGTGTTTAATGATGCCACCTCTGCCTTACTCAAATGTAACACTAAAGAAAATTTCATTTTTCAAACTTAACCTCCCTTTCTCGCTGCCTGTCCTCCAAACTAAAACACTGTTTCCCATCTTTTCTTTCTTGAACCAGACTAATCTAGAAAAAGAGCCCAACCTCTGCCAGACAGAGTTAGAGGCAGATTTAGGAAAAATGGAGATGCTTAATAGAGCACCCAGTGCAGACCCGGCTCAGGTATTTCTGACTGTTTCTCCTGCCCTCAATGCCTCTTCCAGCGCGGTTTTGCCTTTGTTCTGCGGCGTGGGGCGTAGCTGAGGAGTGAATGTTACGCTGATTAGTTTCAACCTGCATGGCTTTCTGACTGCTGCTTTCCCCCAGCTTCATTTTTGCTTCGATTTCTTTTGAGCTTGGTTGGCATCTTCCTTAAAGGGTTTTTTCCAAATATCTGTGGCCAATGATTTAAACTGCTCCCCCTGATCTGCTTGGAGGGGTGACCCTTTTAATTTCCTTCCTTCGCCTTGGAATGCCTTCCCGGGGTTTTCAGGGATCCGTGTGTTGGCAGCTGTCGTTTTTGCAGCTCTAGGAGGTACCAGCCTTGGAGATCATTTTCCAAAGCATAACAGTGCAATTCGAGCGCCTCCTGCGTGCACGGCACTGTCAGGGTAGCCGTGTCTGTAGTTTAAAAGGTCAGAAAATTCTCAATGAAAAAATGCATTCCAGAGGCCAGCCCGCCCGGCCACAGCAAGCATTTGAAACTCTACCTGCACTGGTATTTTTAAATGGAGCTGTGTCAAAACGTGGTTTACTAAAGCCTAGGTCAGAAAGAGAGACAGTCCAAGGTAAATGGGCCCCCGAGAGGAAGAAAAATACCCAATGTTTGGAGAACTGCTCCTAGGGCTCCTTGGAAAAAACACACGAGACCCTTACAAAGAAAGGGGATCTTTACAGAAAATAAAAAAGGAATGTGGGCACTACTAGAGGCTGGGAAGGTCCAAGACTGTGGCAGGAAACGTGGAAGTTGTGAATGAGTCGTGTTATACTTCAGCAGCGCTAAGGAAGGAAGGAGGGCCAGGCCACCAGTGTGAGTGACTTGGGTACCCAAATCCTGGGAGTGCCAGAGACTTAACCCAGGGAAGGGGGAAAGAAAGCAGGGGGTGAAAGCAGTGTGTGTGTGTCGGGGGGGGGGGCTGGAATA